GTGTGTGTGTGTGTGTGTGTGTGTGTGTGTGTGTGTGTGTGTGTGTTTAGGGGGTGCACATGCACCGAATCTCTACCTTGCACACCAAGGCAGGGTGTCTCACTCAAGCAAGGACTGGACCCAGAGCAGGCTGGAGCCAGCTTGTCCCAGGAGCGTTCCTACACCAGGAATCAAGCACCACGCCCACCCGGCTGTCTGGGGATTCTAGAGATCAGAACATCAGTCATCCCACTTGACCATCAAGGGCTTTACCCACTGAGCCATCTCCACAGCTCCCAAACTGTCCCCTGTCCCCCCTCCCCTGTACAGCCCCTTTGTGACATTTCCCTTGGAGGAGGCGCGTTAGGGTCCTGAAGCACACGCTCTCAAGGCTCTGGAGAAAAGAGAAATTACCCCTGGAGAACTCAGGCTGAATCACAGTGGCTTGGAGCCCAAAGCACACCAAGGTGCTCATTAAACAATTATGCCACTAAACAACAGAGTAACCACGATTTGGTTACAAACTAGCGAGCTAACCTCCCGCTTGTCTACGTCTCTGCGCACAGAAACCATGTAGCTTTCAGCCCTATATCCGCCTGCTGTTACTGCCAGGTCCCTACCTCCCTTGAGCCTGCCTTCTCTCTACACAGAAGCAGGGACTGACTGACCTCCACGTGGAGGCCTCCTTCATTTCTCAAGCCCTACCTCCAGCCCTCCAGGTGGACTGCGACCCGTAAGTCTGCAGGCCTGAGTTCACTGACCTGACTGAGGAAGTCAGAGGACTCGTGATCCTCCCAGCTCTGGTTCCTGCTCCGGGCCTTCCCCAGGCCGAGGAGGGTGTCCTGCTCCTCCTCCGGCCCCTTGTGTCTCTTCCTTAGGCCTGCTCCCAGATCGAAGTCATCTGAAGTCAGCAGGGGCTTGCTACTCAGCCTGAAAGCCAAACACACCATGAGGGTCAGCCCCTCGGCCAAGCCACCCTCAACGGGAAAGGGTGGTCCACCCGTGTGCCCGACGGACGCCAGAACGACCAGTGTGGGGAGGTGGGGAGACAGGTAAATGCCAGTGAACGGAGCACAAAGATAGTGAAGAGAGAGAAAATAACTTCAAGTCAGCATCCTCCACATCAGCCTCTCTCTTCTGCGGTGACACACACACACACACACACACACACACACACACACACACGCATGCATGCACACCAGTAAGACATATCTTTACCCAAACTGTACCAAGAGCAAAGGTGAGAAAATTTTAAGGCAATCAACCAGGGTGGGGGAGGAGGTGACATCAAGAGCCGGTGTGAGGGAGGAGCCCTGCATGGGGCCCCCTTTAAGCGGCTCTCAGGTCAGAGCCTGCCAGATTGCCAACGCTGGGCTGACGGGCCTGCGCCACCACACCGTGTGCATGGGGTGGGGTGGGGGCGCACACAACTGGGGCGCTGTGCATGCGAGGGAGCCGCTCCACCAGTCACGGTATGTCCACAGTGCACCCACGACTAGCTGTTTTTGGGGTTTTCTTGTTCGGCCGGTATTTGGCTTGTTGTTGTTTGTTTTTAACACATGAGGAGACTGAAACTGCAGGCTCAAACACCTGCCAGTAGGCCCGAGGTTGCAGCGAGCGGGGAGCTGGGACGTGGGAACGCTGCTTGTCCCTAGCTAGGCCTGCCTTGCTTCTGCCTACAGTCTCTCTCACCCTCTCCTGTGGCTGGTGACGAACACACGTCCATCTCTGTTCTTCCTCCAGCCAGGAACATCCACAGTTAAACATAAGATGCGGCAGGCTGGGGGCCGCTTTCTCATGACGAGACTACGACTACGCTACGGCCCTGCCTATGGCCAGTCCAAGCCCTCCACACTCCTTTTAGTTGCCGAGCGCTGGGGCTTAAACGTCCACTGACCCCAAGCTGGCCAGCCCTACAACCCTTCCCTAACAGACCTCACTGGCCTGTTTGCAGGGATGCTGGAGTCCATCTGGACGGAGGCCTGGCCCTGGATAGAAAGAGCCCTCATCCCGGCCCGCATTCAAGAGGGCCTCAGGAGGAGCCCTCCGAGACAGCGGCAGACGGTCCCCACAGAGCGGCCCCGGTCTCCTGTGGGATCCCAGGAGGATAGGCGTGTACCCAGCCTGCCCTAACGGCTGGAGCTGAAGGGGTACCTCAGCAGGGAGGGACAGAAGGGCGGGGCCACGTGTCCAGGCACGAGTTAAGCCACTGACCATCTTTCCGTTCTCCTGGCTCACCCTCCTGGACGGGGCGGCACTCCGGGCTCCCTGGGAGCTGCCGTTCAGGGATCAGAGCACCGGGCACTACTCCCAGGCCCCCTGGCGCACAGCGGCCGGCGCCTGCCAGGGAGCCCTGCTCCTCCCCTCCGAGCGGGGCGACCAGTCAGTTCCCGACCCACCGAGGGGCCAGCCTTACTTTCCGCTACCGCTGTTGCTCTTCCCTCTCTTGCAGGGGGGCGACAGGGCGCTCGGGGTGTGGGTCCGTTTCCGCGGCCTGCCAGGACCTCTGCGTGCCAGGCTTCTATGGGCATCCTCGTGCCTGTCCCTTAAAAAGAATTCACAGGCTCGGCTGGGAACCCGGGGCGGGCGGGGCGCGGAGCGAGGGCGCTTGGGTCCACACACACACCTGATGACTACCTGGGTCGACCTACAGACCAGATGTCCAGGATGGGGCACGAGCTGGGGAGACACTCACCCCGAGTCCCGGCGTCTCTGGAGCTTGACCAGCTCACGCTGTTTCTCTTTGTACCGCCGCTGGACCTCTGCCAGCCGCATCCGGAAGTCCAGCTCCAGGGCGTCCATGTCCTCCAAGGAAGACTTCATAGCAAACAGCTGGGAAGGGTACCACAAGGAGGGGGAGACAAATGAGGACGCTGATGTCTGCTACCAAAGACCGAAGGCCCCCCCCCCCCTTTCCACTGGTCTGTTTTAGAGACAGGGTCTCATGTAGCCCAGGCAGGCCTCAAACTCAGTATGTAGCCCAGGGTGACCTTGAACTTCTGACCTTCCTGCCTCTCCTTCCTGGGTACTGGGGTCTGCCATGCTGGGTTCGAATGCCAGGGTCTCCGGCATTACACTGCAGTTCAGGTTGCTATGGAACTCACTAAGTAGCCTAGCCTGGCCTGGAACTCTGAGCAATCCCCCTGTCTCAGCCTTGCGATTGCTAGGGATGCAGACATAAGCACCACCACTGTTTCTCACTTTCTGTGGCCCTCACTCCCTCTCGACACTCAGGACCCCCGATGCCAACTTCACCAGCCGGTTTGCCAGCTCTTAAGGGGACGCAACCAGATGCTGTCCAGCAGTAACAGTCTGGCAAGATAAACAGCAAGTGTGTTATTTACGTACGTGGGCAGGCCCACGGTGGGCAGCAGTTACCAGAGACCACGGAGGCAGCAAAGGGTAGCTAGCCCCAGGCCTCATTTCCAGTCTGCCTTCATTCCAATCTACCGTGCTGCACCCTAAGGACGTGCCTGGCATGCTATGAGAAGGCCGGGAAAGCCAAAAGCCCTGAGCCACCTGGCGAGAAAGGGAAGGAAGCTGGACAGTGGGGACCCCTCCCTGGCCTCTCAGGCTCCAGGACGATCATGGTGAGCGCTCACCCGCTCCTCTTTCTTCTGCATCCAGCTGTACTTTTTGTTGGAGTTCAGCTCCCGAGGGAGCCTCAAGTTCTTGAGTGGGTCTGAGAAGGGGTTCTCCAACACCTCCTTCAGCATGTGGCTGCTAGCGGCCAGCAGGCTTTCCAGGGAGGGTCGGACGACCAGGCTTGGCTCTGTACCTGGGAAGCCAGAGGGACCTGTGAATCAGTGCTGAGACCTGGACCACGGAAGGGATGGCTGCACCCACCCAGCCAGCCAGCCAGCCCAAGTTCCCAGATACTACAGAAGCCCTGGCTCTGGGCCACACAGCCACGAAGCATTGTGATCTCCTGGACTCAGGCCATCCTGCGAGGAGGACACAGTGTCAAAGACCTGGGATAGACACCGGTTTTGTCCCTGCACTGTGTCAAAGGCCAGGAGTACCTTGGACTGACCAAAAGCTGGCAGAGGCTTCTTCTTGGGACAAAGGACATCTCCACATGTCACCCCAGTACTCAGGAGGCTTAGGCAGGAGGACCGAGCTCAGGCTGTATGAAGACCCTCTCTCCAACCAAAGCAAGCAAGCAAAGAAAAATAAAATCCCAGGTGGGGGTGGGGAGCACGCACGGCTGAAGAGACAGCTCAGCAGGCAAGGGAGCGTGCTGCTCCTGCAGAGGATCTGAGTTCAATTCCCATCACCCAGTCAGGCAGCTCACATCCTCCTGTAGCTCCAGCTCCTGAGGGAGCCAACCCTTCTGCACCTGTGTTCTCCTCTCTCTCTTCCCCTCTCTCTTCTCTCTCTCTCTCTCTCTCTCACACACACACCCTTTAAAATCTTATATAATAAACTGTATGCCAGGAAAGGGGGCACACACTGTAATCCCAGCACTCGGGAGGCAGAGGCAGGTGATCTCTAGGATTTCAAGGCCAGCCTGGTCTACAAAGGGAGTTCCAGGACCGCCAGGGCCACTCAGAGAAACCCTGTCTTAAAAAACCAAGAGAGAGAGAAAGAAATAAAAAGCACAAACTGAGCCGGGCACAGTGGCGCATGCCTATAATCCCAGCACTCAGGGAGGCAGAGGCAGGAAGATCTCAGAGAGTTGGAGGCCAGCCTGGTCTACAAAGTGAATCCAGGACGGCCAGGGCTACACAGACACAAAACACAGCTGTTTTGTTTCTCAAAACAAAACAAAACAGCTCAAACCGGACTAGAGAAGTAGCTGCATGAGGAGCACACTTGCTGGGTGACTGTGGGTCACTGAGCACAAATACCCAGAATGCACTGCGGTGGCACAGTAACACGGGATTCCAGTTCCAGTGTTCCTGAGGTGAGACAGGAGCCAGGCAGGGGCCGTTCCCAGAAGCCCAGCTACCTGGCGGACAGGGCAGAGGGGGAAGCAGACACCAGAGCGTGTTCTCAGACCTCCACACGCATGCCGTGGCTCGTGCACACCGACACTAACGCACATGTTTGCGTGCACACAAAATACACACACGCACACAAAGATGGCGATGTTTTACAAAGCACAAATCAAGGAGAAAGATGTAAAGATCCCACACGCAGTCTCCCCTGGGGGAGGATGTCAAGTGTGCGCTAGAGTTGTAGAATTGTGCCCTCATGTTCCAACATTCCTACACACCCGCCTCCTGTGGAGGGCTGCGGATACTGCCTCAGTCAATACAGCGCTTGCCTGGCTTGCACCGAGCCCCGGGCTCAACCTCCCGCGCCATATAAACAGGCATGCTGGTACACAGCAGTAATCCAGGATCCAGGAAGTGGAGGCAGGGGGATCCGGAGTTCAAGGTCATCCGTGGCTGCGCAAGGCTTCTGAGCCTGCCTGAGCTACTTGAGATCATGTCTAGCCTCGGCTCCGGCTGCCTCAAAGTGCGCTCCTCTTGCCTCAGCCTCCCAAGTGCTAGAATTATAGACCTGCGCCACTATGCCTGGCTACTTTAGTTTTGTGGCTTATCGCTTGTGTGTGTGTACAAATGCGTATGAGAGAGAAACACAGAGAAAAAAAAAATACTACATATACACAGCATTATGAGGTCAAAGGACAACTTCCCAGGAATTGGTCCTCTCCTTCCATCCTGAGTTATAGAGACTTGAACTCAGGTCTTCAGGGTAGCAGCAAGCTCCTAACATGCTGAGCCATCTCACAGGCCCTCTTGTCATTTTCAACAAACTGACATTTTCTTTTTTTAATCTAAATGTTAAGCGATTTTTAGGTACCATCTGAGCATGCTTGAGGGCAAAAAAAAAATGCAACCAGCCATGTCTGAAGGCCAAGGGGGTGAGCACGGATCATCACAGTGCTTTATTAATCAGGGCTCCGCTGCCCTAGCCCCAGTGCAGGGTGGCCTCCTCCGCTGGGACTGTCCCCCACAATCCTTTTCTGAAGTCTCCCTGCCTTTCCCCACTAGATGTCAGCAGTGTTCTCCCGAACCAGTGACAAGCGACACTGCCACTACCAACATCCTGGTGGGGGGGGCACACGGGACGAGACAGGAATACCTCCTTTCCCACTGAAAATCGGTGCTTTGGGCTGTTATTCCAACCTTCCCTCATTTCTTTTTTTGTAATTTTTATCTATAAATCATTAACTGTTTGCTTTGTTTTCGTTTTGAGATACGTAACTTTGGCTGACCCGGAACTCTGCAAGCCAGCCTGGCCTTGGACCCCTCAAGGAACCTGCCTGCCTCTGGGATTGAAGGTGTGTGCCACTGTGCTCAGCTACTTTTAAATTTTCATTATTTTATATGCTTTGCCTGTGTGTGCATGTGTGTGTGTGTGTGTGCGCGCGCGCATGTGCGCGCACCAGCAGAGGCCTGAAGAGTGCTGCATCTCCTGGAACTGAACTTACAGGTATGAGACCTGGGAATCCAACCCAGGTCCTCTAGAAGGACAGCCAGTGTTCTCTTTCTCTGTGTAGCCTTGGCTGTCCTGGACTCACTCTGTTGACCAGGCTGGCCTTGAACTCTCGGCAATCCCCCTGCCTCTGCCTCCCGGTGCTGGAATTAAAGGTGTGGCCCACCACGTAAGGCACAGCTCTCAAACACTCTCTAGCTCTATTTCGTTGTTACTGTTTTTGAGACATATAGTCCAGGCTAGCCTGGACATAGGAGTCTGGATCTGAACCCTGGACACTCCTGCAAAAGCTCTACCCTGACAGACACCCTCCGGCCTTGTTTACTTGGCAGCACTTCCTCAGGCTGGCTTTGAACTCCCTGTGTGTGTGACCCAGGCAGCCTGAAGCCTTCAGGCCTCTCGCCTGAGCCACAGCTGGGATCACAGCTCTGTGCCACCAGCCAGCGGCTTTGATTCTCCATGTTTGGCTGGGAGCTGAGCCGGGCCTCCAACAGCTGAGCCATCTCTCCACCCCGGGCTTTATTTTCACACATCCTTAGGTAAATGAAGGCTGCAGCCCCACCCCCCTCACTGGGAGACCAAAGACAGCTGATCCATGTTACAGAAAGGACTGAGGCTTGCCAGGTCCATCTCCCTTCAAACAAGCAGCCTGCTGATCCAAAGCTCCCCAGGGACACATGTCAAAACAGGCTTTCTGGGTATGGTCACAACCCCTAACGTAGAAATTGGGATTCCTTTTTTGTTTTTGTTTCGGAACAGGGTTTCTCAGTATAGCCTTGACTGTCCTGAACTCACTTTGTAGACCAGGCTGGCCTCGAACTTACAGCAATCCCCCCGCCTCAGCCTCCCAAACGCTGGCACCACAGGTGTGTCCCATCCAAACAACCCCAACGGTCCATCGGGGTGCAGCATATGCAGAGGGTTCCTGCAGAGCTGGCTGAGTTAGAGAGTAGGAGGGTAAGCCCTAACCTAACACGCTGGTTTCTCCCAGAGGAAGTCAAAGGCCAGACATGTCTACACCAAAGAGGAAGTCTGAGTAGGTCTAGCCCATGCTGACAATCCCAGCGCTCGGAGGACAAGGCAGAGGAACTGCTGAAGGTTCTAGGTCAGCCTGGGCTACGTATCTACCTTAAAAAAAAAAAAAAAATGAAAGAAAATCTCTAGTCAAAGGGTCCCAGTCACTGGCAAGGTACTTGAGCAATCGCAGCCAACAAGTAAATCAACCTGTGGCTGTCACACTAGGGGCTGTGCAGAGATGTGACCCCCGCTGTTGCTCCCTGCTGTGCGGTGGGGGGCTTCCTCAAAAAGCAGCAGGGGCCTGGTGTGGAGGTGCACAAAGCCAACCTCTGCTCCAACAGTAGGACTGTGTTTGTATGTGTGTGCGTGTGTGTGTGTGTGTGTGTGCACGCCCACTCCTACAGTGCACACACATGTGGAGGTTCAGACAGATACCAAGTCACTTGGTGTCAGTACTTGTCTCTCTACCCGATTGAGAAAGGATTTCTTGTCCTTGTATGTGCAACAGGCTCGGAAGGCCAATGAACTGGAATTCTCCTGTCTCCGCCTCCAATTTCAGATGCTTGTCCCCACAGCCAGCTTTATATGGGTTCTAGGGATTTGAACTCAGATCTTCACACACATGTGATGGCGCTTCGCCCTTGCTGCCCGCCACCTCCCCAGGCCCCCAGCTGCAGGCTTGTTGCTTTTTTTACTGCAGAACCTTGAACCCCAGTGGGCCTGTGACAAGGAATCTTGGAGTTCGTATTCAGGCCTCTAGGAAAGACACAGACTTAGCCCAGCTGAGCGGGCCCACAGGCACGGGAGGAATTACTGGAGGCCCCACTGAGGGCAGGAAGCCTGGCAAAAATGAGGTCAACAGAGAGAAAAGTAGAACAGGGAAGGGGAGAGAAGCAAAAGGAAAGGCCAACTGGGCATGCCCAGGGCAAAAAAAACCCAAAAACCTCAAGATGACTTAATTCAAGTACCCAGATCCGGTTGTACCTAATGCTACTTCATTATTGCTCATCGCCTGTGAGCAAATAAATTCTCTCTGCCTTTTTGGGGGGAGGGGCAGAGGTGGAGTGGGAAAGATGGGATCTGTCATAGCCTAGCCCGGCCTCCAACTCAGCACGCAGCTGAAGATGCCGAAGTGTGGATCCTGACTCCATCCCTGAAGCGTTGGGATTACACGCCTGCTACACGTGCTGGGCAAGCACATTCGCTGATCACATTACATTTATTTACATGTGTGTACATTTATTTACATGCTCCTGAGTGCGCGTGTGTGCACGCACACACAAACATGCCGTGGCACGTGTGTGCAGCTCGGAGGACAACTTTTGGGAATCAGTTCTCTCCTACTGTGAAGGTTCTGGGGCTTGGGACCAGCAAGGAAGGCTCAGTGGAATGTGGATTTACCCATAAAATCCTCCCTCTCCCTGGCCCGACCCCTACCCAGCCTCTCAAAAATCCTGCTCTCATACATACATCATAGCAGCGGAAGGAGGTGAGACCAGAGGCCTAACCCACCAAAATGGTACCTCTGGTTAGACAGATTTTTCTCATTCTTCCCATCTCCACTTCAGTAGTGGAGATGGAACCCATCCATGGTTTATGGCTGAAGCAAACACTCTACCACTGAGCCACAGCCCAGCCCCTCACTGGGGGATTCTAGGCAGGTGCTCTACTACTGAGCCACACCCCAGCTCCTCACTGGCGTATTCTAAGCAGGTGCTCTACCATACCCCAGCCTTTTTTACACTGAGACTGGGTCTCAGTTAGCTGCCTAGGCCAGCCTTGTATTCTCTAGCCCAGGCTGCCCTTAAACTCAAAATCCTCCTGCCTCAGCCACTCACGTAACTGGGATGGTAGGCCTATACCACCAGGCCTGGTTTTACAAGTAAAACAAGAACAGAACAAAAGAAAACAATGTGAACAAGACAAATTCTGGGGGGTCTTAGAAGTTGTTAAGAAAACAATTCTAAATCCACTCTGTGGCCCCTGGCTGACCTGGACTTTGCTGTGTACACCATGCTGGTCTAGAACCAGAGATGGACCTGGGCCTCCAGGTCCAGACCCTGGGCTCTGGGACAGGCAAGTCAAAGGTCAGGAATGCCAAGAGGAAAGGCGCACACCACCACCACCAGCTTCTCCAACCTTCCGAAGACTCGAGTGTCGGCAGCCGGCAGCCCAGGCTTACCTGCAGCCTCCTGGCCTCTCCGGTCCAGCTCCAGCTCAGCTATCTCACTCAGCAGAGTGATGCCCTGCAGGAAGCTGTGTTCCAGAACCGTGCTGGGGGCTGCATCCAGCTTCTCCCCGGCTGGGACCCCAGTACCCAGGGAGGGTAGAGGCCTGGCTTGGGGCAGCTCTGCCGCGGCTGCCAGCACATTCATGCCAGCCAGTGGGTCCTCCAGGCCGGGCAGGAACGGTTCAGAGTGGGTCTCTTCCAGATAGCAGGCACTGCCGGGAGCAGGTGTGGCCTCCTGGGCCTCCAAGTTCACACACTGGCCCTCCGGGACAGCCAAGTCACAGTCTGAGAGCTCTAGGCTGGGCTGAGGCTCGGTCAGGGTTGGCTGGGGCAGGCTACCCTCCAGGCCTGCCTCCGCCACGGGCCCCTCCCTTGGCACATTCAGGGGTACCTCCACGGGCTCTTCCTTAGTCTCCACCAGCGGCTCAGGTGTCAGCTGTGTCCCCAGCTCCAGGCCAGCCATGCGGGGTTCCGTCCTGCCCGGTAGTTCTACCTGTGCTTCGGCCACCTGCGCCAAGTCTGCCGCTTCGGAGGGCTCCCGGCAGCCCGGAGCGGCTGTGCTCAGCGCCTGGGCCTCGAGCAGGCCGCCTCCGCAGCCGCCCGCGGGGCTCACAGCCACCATGGCCTCCGGGACGGGCAGGGCCAGCGGTGACCCGAGGGGAGGCAGCTCGGCCGGGACCTCTTCCAGATCCTCAGCCTCAGCCTTCACCTCGTGCTCAGCCAGCGGCTCCTCCTCGGGACTGTCCTGAGGTGGCTCTGGGATCTTAGAGGGCGACAGGCAGATGGGCTTGTCTTCCGGAGACAGCGCCAAGCGCTCGGGTCCATCAGCCGGGAGCGGCACGTCAGGGGCCAGGCCGTCGGCGTCAGCGGCCGCCGTGGGCTGCAGCAGGAAGGGGTAGGGTCTCCCGTAGTGTGACGGCAGGGCTTGGAAGGGGTACCTGGGGGGGATATCTGCCAAGGACAAAGGCAGTCAGTGAAGGGGGCTCCCCAAGGATCTGACCTAACCCCATAACCTGAGATAGGAGGCAACATATCACCACTGCCCTCTGCTGGATCAGCTGCAGGGTGGGGGGCACCCTCAACCCCACCCTTGCGCCAACTCCCCCCTCCCCCAGCCCCCACCCCAGCAGATCCTGAAACATCCCAGGACCCTTCTACACATCTGAGCCTTGGAGAGAAAAGGCAGCCGCCATCTTGTCCCTAGAGTCTCACAACTAGTTGTAAAGGCGAATGGAGACTGGACCAGAGGCAAATGCTTAGAGATCTAGGAAAGTCAGTCAGCCCAGGCTGTCTCTCACTCCAACAAAGCACGTGTTCAAAAGTCTCATAGTAGCTGGGCATGGTGGCTCATGCCTTTAATCCCAGCACTTGAGAAGCAGAGGCTTACAGATCTCTGTGAGTTCAAAGCCAGGGCTGCATAGGGAGACACTGTCTCCAAACACAGCAGAGCAAAAACCCTTCATAGTAAAATAGTTTCATCCAAAGAGGCAGCAGAGCTGAGTGAAATGGTTTGGCAGCGTCAGGCCTGACCCAGACCTGGGCAGTGCCCAACAGGAGCCTAACAAAGGGCAACAGTGTGCCAGAGCATGCTCCAGGCCAGGCATGTGCCCTCAGCACCCCATCACACCCAATGGCTGAGGAGAGGGGCGGCCTCCTGGGCAACCTAACGCAGCGCTAACATGGGTTCTCAGGAAGAACCCCAATCCTCAAGCATAATCTCACAACCTCCACTGCTCCCAGAAAAGGACGCATACCTCAGCCCCCAAAGCCGCCTGCAGCTGCGTAGTCCTGGCGAACACAGGACACTGAGACAGCATGCGTGTGAGACGCTAACCAGGCCTATGTCCCCTGCCTTCACTAACTGGGGAGAAATCTCAGCTGCATTCATTCCACAGCTGGACAGTGGGCTCCACAGACTGCTCAGCGGGAGGGAGAGAGCGAATGAATGAATGAATGAGCCAATGGCCAGGGGTGAGTGAATAAATGAAGCCGTAAACAGGAAAGATATGTCAACAAACAAACAAATGAAGGAGTAAATGAATGAGCGGAGGAATAAGTGAAGCAGCTAAGGAATGAACGAAGGAGCTCGTGAAGGAATGAGCGAGCACACAGAGAGACCTGCTGAGCAAGTGAACCAGGCCGCAGTGAGCAGTGTCCCCGAGCCCTGCAGCCCACCTGTGAACAGGGCCTGGAAGGGGCTGGGGGTCTCCTTCTCCAGCTCCCGGTCTTTCTTCTCCACCACATTCTCAGGAGCCTCTTCCTTGCGGGTGAGGCCCGGGGTAGGTGGTGGGGAGGCGGGCGGAGGGCTGCTGGGGTGTGAGCTGGGCGTGGCAGGGTAGGTGTAGGCCGGTGGCTTGGTGGCATCCTCCACTTTCTGGATGACCTTGGCCTTCAGGGCGGTCACGGGGGAGGCTCTTGGGGAAGGGGGTGGGCTCACAGCCTTGCTGTGGCCGCCTGCGGGGCCGGCAGCCAGGCCAGCGGGCTTGCGGGACAGCAGCCCGGGGCCCGGCGCGCTCAGGCCAGCCTTGCCCGTGGCTTCCAGGCTCCTCTTACTCATCTTCTCCTCCATGTCAGTCCGATGTTCCTGCGCCTTCAGTCGCTCCTGCTGGGAGGGAGACCGTGGGAGGTGTCTGCGGGGACCCTGGAGCCCCCCACCCCCGATGGCATCAGGCCACCCAGCCCTTGCCCATCCCAAGGCGGTCCCCACAGACATTCTACCATGGCATGAGTGTAATAAACGTGGCATTCTACAGAACCCAGAGAGCAGGCCCCAGCGTGCCGGGAGCAGGGGGCAGGGCACAGAGCTCTGGCTGTTACAAGGAGGGACGCAGAGATTTCCCTCGGGTCCCTGGCCCAGCCAGGGCCCTCACAGTTGAAGCAAGGAGCCTCTAACAATAGCAGAAGCACCCACACCCCGATGCCACGTGCTCATTGAGGAGTGCTCGGGACCTGCTCAGCCCTGAACTGCATTATTCGAGCACCTCACTGGAGAGGAGGACCACGGAGACAGCAAAATGAGAAACCCAGCTAGCCCTATGACAGCCAGCACTGACAGGGACCCAGCGGCTAGGACCCAAAACACAGGACAGCTCCACAGCCCGCCGCTCCTGTGGCCACCTGTACCTAAGAGCTGAGTAACTAGCCATTTCGAGGACCCCTGCTTCCTGGAAGCAGAAACTTCAAGACCAGAGAAGTTAAGTCATCTGCTGGAGGACACAGAGCCTGAAAATCTCTGCCACCCAACTCTGTCCAGACCCTCTCTGTCCTGTACAAACATCTCCAATCCATACGTCACCTGCACTAACTGGGTCCTCTCTGTGCTGGGTGCCACCAGCCACACCCTGGACCTCTGTTGAGATGCTGCCTCCCACAGGCAGCCCTCCCTGACTGCCACTCTCCTTTTGTGCGGCTTAGGGTGTCTGCCTCCCAGCACGGGGCCAGGGCTTACCACCAGCTGTGCGCTCCGCTGTAGCTCCAGGGCCTGCGCTGCCTGCTGCTGCAGGTACAGCAGCTCTTGCTGCCGGAGGAAGTGCTGCTGAGAGAAGAGCTGCAACTGCTGGGCGTGGTGCAGCGGGCTGCGGCCCGGTGGGTACAGGGCCGGCCAGAGGGGAGGCACTGCGGCCCGCTCCATCAGCTCGGCTGCGGAGAGAGACGGGGAGCTGCACCCACGCGACGCGCGCCCCCACTTCCGGAGGGAGACGCTAAGAACCAACGCACATAGCCGGGCAACAAGCCGTGGTCCCCGCTGGCTCCCCCAGTGTGGAATGCCAGCCTGTGCACGTGGGCACCACGCCCCTGCCCGAACCCCCAGGTGGAATATCCTCAAAGGTCGCAGTTGGGGCGTGCCAACCTGCAGGCTGTCACCAAAGCCACCGTGGGGACTCCACCCCACGCTCTGCAGAGCGAGCCCCAGAAGGGTCAAGGGCACCGGGCCCCCCAGGTGACCCCAACTGAACTGTTTTCCGAGATCTGCTCTCTGGACACAGCTGAGCACCCTTTCCTGGGCGTCCTTGTCCCCACCCTCTCCAGGGCTGCCCCACCCCCATGGGAGGCCAGGAAAGTCCCTGGCCTGTGACACAGGGGTCACTTACCAAAATGAGGCAGGTGATCACTGGGGATAACCACCAGCTGGCCAGACTGGGGGTCTCTGACGAACTGGTAAGCTGACGGCAGGGAGCCCCCTAAGCCAGGTGGGAATGCGGGGGCCATGCCCTGGTGTAGAGAGGGGGGTCCCAGGCCTAGGGGGAAAACCCAATTTCACACCTGTGTCCGGAGGTTAAGAAGCCTTGTGGTCCCTGATCTCCACGGAATCCCAGGAGACAGAGAGTCCAGGCAGAAGGAACCGCCCGGCTGTCCGCCCCGCCTTACTAGGGGAAGCACTCCCCTGGGGGAACCCCCTGAGGCCGCACTCACCGTAAGGGTGCCCAGCGAGCCACATGGATGTGCTGCCCGAGCGAGGCAGCCAGGGGTGCGTGGCCAAGTGTGCTGCGGGGTCGGCGGACCAGCGGCCCGAGCCCGCCAGCGCCGGGCCCCCGGTCACCATGAGGTTCAGGCCATTAGGAGCGCAGCTGCTGGGGTGCAGCCGGGCCAGGTCGGCCAGCTCCTTACTCTCTCTGCGAAGGGAAACAGAGGCATAGGAACCGCTGCTGGCCAGGGAGCGGGAAGGGGGAGGACGGTCACAGCCCAGGGAGCAGACAAGCGTGAGGGGGAGCCTGGGGACAGCTGAGGCTCCGCCCCACTGGCTGGGGGGGGGGGCTTCAGCCCAAGGTGGGAGCCAGGGTCACCTCACCACCCTCACCAGAAGCCCTCAGCCCCAGCTCAGGGCCCCCAAGCCCTCACCGGAGCAGCTTCTCCTGGTCCCGGTCCAGCCGTGCCCCTAGCAGCCGATCCTCCCGGTGTCTGGCTCGCTCACAGTCATCATCGGTCCGGCCATGCCCTGGGGGCCGAAGGCGGCAGTGAGTCCCCTGCCGGCGCAGTCCAGACCCCACTGTACCTCTCACCCGCTGTGAGGATCTTCCCCCAGCAACCCAGACCCTTACGACCGACCCCTGAGCACCAGCGAGGAGTCTCTGGCCCAGAAACATCCCATCTACGCCTTCCACCGCAGGAGCCTGCCTGCTGCTCACACAGACAGCTGCAGTAAGAACCACAATGGCAGACACAAGTTTAAATGCAATAAAAATCAAACATGGGCAGAGACAGGGGGCCTCTGAGTTCAAGGCCAGCCTGGTCTACAGAGTAAGTTTCAGGACAGCCAGGACTACACAGAGAAACCTTGCCTGGAAAAAAACAAAACCCAAAACAAAGTACTTTTGACCAAGCCTGAAGGCCCAAGTTCGAGTCCTCTGCCAGCTGTCCTCTGGCCTCCACTATGCCCAGGAGCACGCCCCATACATGGACATGAACACACAAAATAAATGTCCTTTTTCTCATCTTTATCTGCTTCATGCATATTAGTGTTCACGGGCTACGTTCATGCCTGCCTGGTGTTCCAGGGAGTTCAAAGGAGGATGTCGGCTCCCCAAGATCTGGAGTGCCGGCTGGGAACTGAACAGGCCCTCTCAACCGCTGAGCCGTCTCTCTAGCCCAAATAAATGTATTTAAAAATTAAAAATGACTGCAGGGGGAGGGGCACTCGGCAGGCAGAGGTGCTTGCTGCCATGCCGGACGACCTGAGTTCAAGCCCCAGGACCCACACGTTGAAAGGCGGGAAACCGGAAACCAGCTCCCACAGGTTGTCCTCCTGACCCTGACGCACACCGGGTGACATGGCCACACAATAAACAAATGGTATAAAGGAAAAGGGGCCAGGGATGTGGCTCAGCTGGCAAGCTGCCCGCCCAGCAGCCCAGGGTCTATCCCCCTTGAGGACAGATCCCCCAGTATGGCTCACATACACAGAAGAGGAAGTTCAAGGCCACCCTTGGCTACATGGCGAAATAAAAACCAATCTGGGCTGCCCCAGTCTCTGGCTCCGAAATAAATGAACCGGTCATGTGGTGATACGATCAAAGTAGTCAGCCCTGGGCAGGCTCAGCGACATCTCAGGTGACACAGACCAGCAACATGGAGGGCTTGAGAGTCCCACTGCAGAGCCTTGCCAGGGTCCAGAGTTGGCCGCGTTCAGGATCCTCACAAGCCAAAGTCCCTCTTAAGACACAGCAACCGAGTTCCTGCACCTCATCTATCTCCCTGCACCCCCAAAACTGCAGAGTACTGAAGAGCACTGTCCCTGGCCGAGACACACTCAGAGACCCTTCCGGTCTCCCCGGGAAGATGGAGGTACAGCTGTCCAGAGCACGGGAGAAAAGCCAGGAGAGTGCAGCCACGTGAGCACAGGGCGGGGGCTAGGAAAGCACACAGCCACATGAGCCCAGACATCCAAGGACCAGGCGTGCTAGAGTCTCGGCCAGGCAGCCTCGGAGGGGACAGCGCCAGGACCCAGAGGCAGATGGGGCAGGGCCAGCAAAGCTGCCTGAGGTGAAGCTCGGGGCTGCGTACAGCATCGAAAAAACCAGTCGCAACACAGGAAAACCCTCACCAATGTCAAGTGGCAAGAGTGGACAGAGGTGGGTCGGGGGAGGGACGTGTCCCTGGCCACCCGAAGGGTCCTTTCCCCAGCGCTACAGTACACAGACACACTTGCCAAGCTTTTACTCCCAACAGTACGAGACTACACGGGGGGGGGGGGGGGGGGGGGGGGCAGGGAACAAGCCACCTGCAGATGGGGACACCCAGCCAGGGCACTCCTCACCACCACCTCCACCACCCACCCCCAAGCCACGGAGGTCTCCCGCTGACTGGAACCCTGCTATGATGGTCAATCCCGCTGGCCTGGCAGGATCTAGAATTCCTGAGCAGCTCAAGCTCCGGGCATGTCTCTGAGGGGTCTCCACAGAGGCTTCCCAAGAGGTAGGAAGACCCATGCCCAAACTCGGGCACAACCACCCCCTGGGCTGCGGGCTCAGACTGAGCGAAGAGCAGCAGGACCAGGGCGTGGCTCAGGAGCTCTTTTAGGCAAGCCTACAGCCTAAATCTGATCCCCGATCCCTGGGACCCAAGCGGTGGAGGGGAAGAACAGATCCCTGCAGCTGCCCTCTGACCCTGACGCGTGCATGCATACCCACAAAACAAGTCAACAAATAAATGCAAGAAGAATGTTAAGAGAAGAAAGGGGCTGAAGAGACAGCTCAGCAGTTGACAGAACCTGTCCCATCACTGTAAGAACCAGAGGTTAGGTCCCAACCTAACCTCAGGCATCTTGCACACGCTTGTAACTGCAGCTCCAAGGGACTGGAGACAGGAGGATGGCTGGGGCTGCCTGGCTGCTGGCTGAGCCAAGAAGACATGCGCCCCAGCTTCAGAGAGAGACCCTGTTTCAAAGACACAGTGGCGAAGAAATGGAAACAATACCCAGTGCCTCTTCTGGTCTCCACAATGCACACATACAGACGCATGTAGGTCAGTCAGTAAACCTTTAAAGGACATAGTGAGGTGAACCCCAACATTCGTCTCTCTCCTCAGGCGCCTCACGCTCCTGCTGCCATGATTTCCCACCCTGATGGACCACACATCCAAACTGTGAGCCAAAATAAACTACTCCTTCCTTCCTGAGATGTTTTCGTTGGCTATTCCATCAGAGCCACCAGAGAACTAACACACACACACACACACACACACACACACACACACACACACACACACACTCCCTCAGGCATAACAACAGCAAGATGACAGCTGGGGAGACAACCAAGTTGGTGAAGTGGTTGCTGTGAAAATGAAGACCTGAATTTGAATCTCTACAACCCAAATTTAAGAACAATACAAGCTGGGTGTCCGTAGTGCACACCTTTTGGTCCTGGCCCTTGAGAGGCAGAGGCAGGTGGATCTCTGTGAGTGTGAGGCTGGCCTGGTCTACAGAGGGAGTCCCAGGACAAACAGTGCTCTGTAGAGAGACCCTGTCTCAAAAACCAACAACTAAATATAAACTGAGCACAACAGCACTGGGGATGCCAGCGCCGGGGAGGCCCTCGCTGGCCCTGAAGCAGTGAGCTCCAGGGTCAGCCACAGACTGTCTCAAAAGACAAGCGGGGGCTGGAGAGATGGCTCGGCAGTTGTAAGCATTTGCTTTTCATCAAGAGGGCCGGTTTCCCAGCACCCGAGGCAGCTCAGAACGGTCTGTAACTCCGGTTCCACGGGATCTCATGCCCGCTTCTCACCCCCAAAAGCATTAGGCACTCATGTCTGCATAGACACACATATAGGTTGGCAAAACATCTATTATACATAAAAAATTAAATCAATCTTTTAAAAATTGTGGAAGAAACTGAGGAAGACAGCTCCAGCCTCTGGACACACACTTGTGTATAAACATGGACATGTGAATGTACACACACACAGAGATACACACACACACCAATGGCCAAACTAGAGAGGCTGTGCCCAGGAACCATGGGTAAAATGCAGCTCAGAAGGGAACAGCACAGATTGAGGCAGAGCCCAGGCACAGAGAGCCACCCAGCGTTCCGCAGCTGTGCCTGGAAGTCAGAGCCTGAGCTCATGCTTCCTTGTCCCAGGGGAGACGCCACGTCAGCCAGGCTCACACACTCCCAAGGGCTCAGCCATCTGGGAAGGGCACATGCCGCCAGTCGCCAGTCTCCATCTGAGACCAGCTGTGGGTACAGCACTTGCTGCTGGGGCCCCAGAAAGGGGAGCCGCCTGGAGAGCAGCCCAGTCGGGGCCACGAACCTGTACACCGACTGAACTGTCCTGGGTGACCTCCTGTCCCGAGTGTAACCTGCCTCTAGACACCAATTCAGAGCACCAATCCATGCCTACCGCCACTCTGCAAACTGGCTAGCTCCCAAAGAAAGGTGACAAGACTGTCACACCTGACCCCATGCTGAGAGGCTCCACCTCTACCCACATCACTCTGCAGCTCCCTCCCGGTGGCCTCTAAGCTCTGCTCTCAGCCACAGCACGAAGCCAAGGCCCTGCCCTGGCCTGTGTCATCGCTGCGTGTCAGCCACACGCATCCTTTCCCCATCCTAGGAAGCACACACCGCTCCCTCCACACGGAATGCCCTTCCACTGGACTATCCAACCCAACCGGCTCCAACTGCTGTCTCCTCCAGGAAGGACCACCCTGACCCCCTCTCCTCACCACACTCCTCATTTATCTCCCTCCCTACGCTGATCAAAGCATGACCATTACGCTTGTGGCTGATTCACCATCCAGCTTCCTGCCCCTGACTGAGGCTACTGCGACGCACTGCTCAGGTTCCAAGCACGCCACCCATGGCCATCCATATCCTCTCTACACCAAACTGGACAGAGAGAAACGCAATCAACAAACAGTGAATGCCAGGAAGGAAAGAGATCTGAAAGAAGAATGAGATAAATAGAAGAAAAGGCACCTGCAAACACCCTGAGGCAGGAACCTGGCAAAGGAACAGTGAGGAGGCCATGAGGAGTCAAAGGGAGTGAACAAAAGAGGGAGCAGAAAAGGAGTTCGAAGTGGTAGAGGCCCTGCCTAGAATCCCCCAGTGAGGGGCGGGGGTGTGGCTGAGTTAGGGCAAGTAAGTAGAATATACAAGAGTGGTTTTCATTTCCAAAACTGAAAAACACAAACTTCAACCACATCCTCTTCCAAACACACACACACACACACACACACACACACGCATGCACACATATGACCCTTGAAAGCACAGGTGTTTTAGATACTAAATCATGAGCCACTCTACACACAAGAAAATACTCTACCATGCCACAGAACCCTAGTCAGGGTAGAAGACTTGTCCCTAATCATTCCATCCCAGAATAAGCAGGTGCTGCTACTAACCCCCATCACCAGAGGACCAGGTTCCTTGGCTAGGTATCTCTGTCCAGATCAAAAGGAGCAGTCAGTCAGTCAGCAAACAGCCACCAAATACCACCCACTTAAGACACCTCTGCTGAAGAAATTCAAAGACAGGGCAGATGAGGAGCACATCCTAATTCAAAATCCAAAGTGTCAGGTGCTCAGAGACCTAAGGACATCCAGGGATTAGCCAGGGACAGTCAACAGGGGGGCGGGAATGTTCTTCCAGGGAAACAGACAAGGCCAGCTGGAGCACCAGGTATTGTAAAGAAAGATACTGCCAGGGCTGGGTCTAGAGAGGGCGTACCCCTTTGATCCCAGCACCCCAGAGGCAGAGATAGATCTCTGTGAGTTCAAGGCCAGCCTGGTCTACAAAGCAAGTCAAGGACAGGTAGGGCTCTGTCACACAGAGAAACCCTGTCTCGAAAGTAGCCCCCGAAGCCCACCACACAAAAAAAATCAGTGCTAGGAACGAGGTGTAATAGCACACGCTGAGCTCCAGCAGAGACAGGAGGATCCCTCTGAGTTCAAGGCCAACCTGGTCTGTATACAGAGCTACATAGTGAGAACCCCGTCTCCAAAAATAAAAACCACCGCTAGGAGGAAGAGCCAGGCTCAGTACTCCACCCCTGGGGAGAGCGGAGGCCCTGAACATGCCCCAACATTACAAGGGGGTCAGAATGAGACAGAGCTCCTGGCCTTGCTAGGCTGTCTGGGACAGGACTGAAATCAGTCCAGGAGAGAGGCCGTAGAAGGGGCTGCTTCCAAAGAGCACGGAACCTGGAAGGCAGCAGGAGGCAGGCCAGGCGGGGAAGGGAGGGGCCCAAAAGATGGCAGGTGATGGCACACAGCTATGGGTGCCTGGGCTGGAACCTGCAGGAAGGAGGTTCCTTCCGTCGTAGGTGGCCTGGACTGTGGTCAAGAGGCTGGGATCATGAAACAATGCCTGCCTTGAGATGTCACACAAGTAAGGGCCAGCTGGACATGACCTTTTCCTGGCCTTCACCAGGCCGGCCGCCAGGCCATCACAAGGCCACACTTCTGCAGCTCCGACACCTGAACCACAGGCCTTTAGCACAGCAACGGCCCCTGACCTTAGCTGACATAGCAGTCAGAGCTCAAAAGAGCGGACAGATCTCCAAAACACACGAGGACTCACAGACGCAGACCAGCTTACCAAGCTCTGGAAAGGACCCAGACCAGCTTACCAAGCTCTGGAAAAAGAGCCAGCCTCGCTATGGACAAAAAGAAACAAGCCCAGGGTGGTGGCTAATTACACCCATAATGCCAGCACTTTGGGACGCTGAGGCAGGAGGATCAAGTTTAAGGCTAGTTTGAGGAAGGGCCAGGAAGGTGGCTCAACAGATACAGTGCTTGCCAAGCAAATGTGAGGACAGAAGTTCGGGTCCCCGTAACACTCGGAAGACCTCACGTCAGAGCCCCTGCAATGAGATAGGCGGTGGGGATCAGGGAGTCCCGCAAGAGCCCACAAACCAACTAGCCTGGTGTACACAAGGCAGAGGGCCGGGACTGACACCCAAGACTTTAAAACATGCATGTGGCACACACACACATCCAGAGACTCACACATACACAAACACACACACAATAAGTAAATAGATAGACAGAAAAGAAAGTGGAAAGGGCAAAAGAAAAAGGAAAAAAAAAAAGCCAAGCCAAGACATCCCAGCAGATAACACTGTTTGCTATACAAGCCTGATGACCGGACTTTGATCCCCTGAACCCAGGGTAGAAGGAAGAATCAAGTTTAGGAAGTTGTTCACGGATCTCCATATGTGCGCATGGCAAGCACATGTTTATACATTCATACCCAAACACGTTTGTGTGTGTGTCCACATCCTGATAATGAGAATTTTTTAAAACGCAGCAGCAGAGGCCAGCGAGCTTGGTGGGGTGACTCAGAAAGTAAAAGGGCTATGATGGCCCCTCCTGTGGGCACTAGCACACACGTGACGTGTGTTCACACGCATGCACATACATTTTTTCCCCCGGTTATAAAGGCTCCAGTAACGCCTGTCAGGGAGCGGCGTCTGCCATTCACAAACACTCCCTCATTCACACTGACACGGCGGTGCCCGGCCCTACCCCGCTGGAGAACTCAGAATGGGAGGCGCAGGGCCAGCATATTCCCAGGAATCTCCAGGGCAGAACAGAGCGGCTCAGGCACGGCACACAGGTGCTTCGTGCGAAAGTATTCCACGCGGCGCTCTCGACACAAAAGAGAGCAGGCAGAGACTTAAAATGCCCACCAGGGAGTGGGGACCCAGCTACTGTACCTGCTGGCATGCGCTCCCCATGGAATGTTAAAGGCCGTGAAAAAAAAAAAAAAAAAAAAAAAAAAAACGAGACCTGTAAAGAGTCTGCCTTCTCAGGAGAAACACCACACTGTGATACGGGAAGAACGCATGAGGCCAAGGCGCTAGCCACTCGGCGGGTGGACGCAAATTGCATGGGGAAATGAATTCAGGGAGAGCCAGGAAAGCGTTCGGGGTGCTGGGAAAACAATGATCTTTTTCTTCGTTCTCCTCTCCTGCACTCTGCAAGTCTATATGGATAATGGAAAAAGCAATCACGGTCTCAACAGCAGCCAACACCGGCAAGTGGGGAACGGGCGCGCGGTACTGAGGGGTGGGGGTGGAGGGGGGAGGAGGGGAGGCTTGGGAGAAAAGACTAAGAAAGCACCCACCGGGAGTGGTGGTGTGGGCCTTTCATCTCAGCATTCCAGAGGCAGAGGCAGGTGCATTGCTGTGAGTTCAAAGCCACCCTGGGCTACATAGTAGGTTCCAAGCTAACCAGAGCTAGGGTGAAACCCTGAATTAAAAAAAAATAATAAGAAAAAAAAAAAAGTGGGAAACCAGCTAACCAGGCGTGGTGGCATATGCCTGTAATGCCAGCACTCAGGAAGGCAGAAGCAGGCTGACTGCTGCGAGTTCAAGGCCAGCGGGGTCTACAAAGTGTGTCCAGGACAGCCAGGACCACACAGAGAAACCCTGTCTCAAAAAACCAAAAACTGGGAAGCCAGAGGTCAGAGACAGTGAGGCACATAGAACCAAGAAGTAGGGGTTAGGCCAGGTGGCAGAATCCCAGCACTAGAGAGGCAGAGGCAGGTGGATCTCTGTGACTTCAAGACTGCCTGGTCTACAGAGCAAGTTCCAGGATTACCAGGGCTACAAAGAGAAACCTCGTCTTGAAAAAACAAACAAACAAACAAACAAAGAATTAGGGACTGGGGAGATGGCTCAGAAAGTACAATACAAGTGCAGGGACTTATGTAAAGCAGGACGTCAGCACTCTATAACCCCAGAGACCCTAGACGGGAGGTGGAGAAAGAAGATTCTGTGGAAGGCCCTGGGCCAGCTAGGCTGGTGTCTGCAGCCCCAACAGGAGACCGTCTCGGGCCAGTGAGGTGACTCAGTGTTTAGGTAAAGGTGCCTGATGCCACGCCTGAAGACCTGGGTTCCATCCCCAAAACCTACACGGTGAAAGAGGAACCATTTCTCACAGCTGTCCTCTGAGCTCCACGTGTGCACTGCGGTACGCTACACAGGTGTGTGCGAGACACACACAGAAATAAGTAAATGCAACGAGAGCACCTGTCTCAAGCAAAGCAGAAGGCAGAGCAACCCCCCGAGGTCGCCCTGTGACCTCCATACTTGCACACCGCACCTGTACCCACATCCACACCTGAAGACGAAACGTAGGCGTGGGACTGGGCCCGGGGCAATTCCCCACAACAGAGGAGAGAGATCCTAGGTTCAAAACCCATCTAGGCAACAGAGCACATTCAGGTCTGCGCACACTGAAAAGAAATGGGGCTAGGGGTGTGGGTCCTGCTCGCTTCGAGCCCGTGGTCACGGCACTCAGCAAGTGGAGACAAGGGGATCAAGATCATTTCTGGCCACAGAGTGAGCTGGGGTCTAAGATTGGCCCTCAAAAAAAAAAAAAAAAAAAAAAAAAAAAAGGAGTGGGCCATAGCTCAAGGCAGAGCACCTTCCTGTTTTGGGTATGAGACCCTGTAGGTTCAACTCCCAGTACCAACAAAACCAAACCAGAAACAAACAGGACCCAGCACCTACCTTTGGCATTGCTCAGCGACAACGGGCGTTCCTGGTCGACCGGCCCAGGCCCCAGCCGGCTGCTGCTCCCGCTGTCCTTCTGCCGGGCCACGGCCACGGCAATGCCGACAGGTGGGTGTCTCACTTCGGCTTCCCCCTGGGCACCAGAGCCCTCCCGCCCAAAGGCTTTGGCACTCTCGGGTCTCTCTGGGTCCCGCTTCAGCTGCCGGCCCCCTCCAGCTGTGGGGACCCCTGGGTGTGTGAGTCGGGCCTGGGCCCTAGGGGGACCCGCAGAGGTCGGCGTTGGTTCAGGTTTCATGGTGCCCAGGCCTCCAAACGGGTTCTTCTTCCCACAGCCGCCAGGGCCCACAGCCACGGCCTCGCGAGCGAAGCTGCCGCTGTATTTGATGAGGCTCTGCATGGCGGAGGCCTCGCCCGGTCCATGGGCCGAGGGGTGGAGGTCGGCCCCGGGCCTGCCGCAGGTGGCCGGGGCCCTGGGCACTGCACCCCCGGGGTCCAGGTAGGCCTTTTTGGATGCTGTGGCGACAGCTGCTTCCTCTTCGGCTCGGCTGGCGTGGTGGTGCTGGGCTGCCAGCACAGCCATCTGTGTGGTGGCAAAATTGCCCAGCTCAAAGGGTTTCCACTTGTGTTCCGGCCCAGGTGGTCGGGATGGTTCCAGGCCGAAGAGCTTAGCCGCCTGCTGGGCTACGGAGGCGCTCGGGCCTCGGGGCGCGCGCTCACAAGGCCTGGGATCGGCCTCAGGCTTGAGCAGGTCCTTGGGGGGCAGGTAGGCGCGGGCGTCCGGGGAGGAGCGGGAGGGGCGGGCTGCTGGAGGGCCGTCGGACGGCGGCGGCCGCTTGAGCGAGCGGATCACTGAGCTCTTCTCCCGCAGGACCTCCGGCCGCTCCAGGCGTGGAGATCCAGGCGGGCCTTGCAGGACTCCGGGGCGGCCCGGCTCCCGCTCCCTGGCCCGGGCGTCGCGAGCCTGGGACGCTATCTGGATGGGTCCCACGCGCTCATCAAAGGCCTCCACAGAAGGCACGAAGGTGGGCGCCACCACGCGGTGCTCGCGGCCTGGTTCACGGAACACGGTGTAGACACCAGCTGGTGTCGAGGAAGGGGGCGCGGGAGGGCCTTTGGGGGGCAGTGGCGGGGGAGGGGGCGGTGGCGGCAGCGGGGACCCACAGGGCCTGGCCGTGGGCAGCAGGGCCTCGGCCCGCCGCAGCAGCCGAGCACTCTCCTCCTGCCTGGCTACCTCCTTGGCGCCTCCGCGGCCCAGCTCGGCCACCAGCCCCGCATCCACCGCACCGTTGCACAGGCTCATGGCGGACGGCTGCAGCGCACCCTTGGCTTTGGCCTCTGCCAGAAAGGGTGACAGGCGCTCGGCCAGCCGTGAGGGTCCCCGGTCCTGGCGGCCCTCGGCTCGCGCCTCCTGGGTCAAGTCCACCACGCCACGGGGCCCGGACACCTCCTCACGCGCCCGAGGGTCTTTCTTGCCGAACAACGGAGGAGGGTCTCCACCACGGCCCGAGCGATCCTTCCCCGTACCTTCCCGGGAGGTGCCTTTGGCCGGACCGCCTGAGTGGCCGCTGCTGGGGGTTCTGGATGAGGGTGTGTGAGAGTGCAGGGTCCCCGGTGCAGGCAGGTAGAAGCCATCTAGGGAGGAACAGACATAATGAACCAGGACCATTACCCACTCCTAACCCCAAGAGGGCCTCCCCTCCTGCAAGGGTGCATGGCCCCCAGAGAGAGAATGGGCAGGGACCTGGTCCCTTCCAGCTCATGGCTAGAAAATGAGCAGAAACCTGGTTTTAGCCATCTCATCCTCCCAGGGCCTGTTTCCTCATCACTAAGGAAGAAAGGCCAAAGGCTGTTTGTGGAGCTATCCAGGGCTTATTAAAAGGCTGAGGGTAACCCGGCTGAGGGGCCTTTGGGACTGAGTCTCAAAAAGGCACTTGGAGGTCCAGCATTCAGGAGATTAAAGCAGGTGGATATCAAGTCTAAGGCTAGCCTCGGCCACCTAGCAATGCCTAGGCCACTGTGGACTACTCGAAGCAAGAGAAAGAAAAGGGGCAGGGAGAAAGGAGGAAAGGAAAGGAGGAGGGGAGAGAAGAGAGGGTAGGTGGGAAGGGAAGGAAGCAGAGACCTGCAAGATGGCTTAGGTACAAGGACCGCTGTGAAGCCGGGGACCTGAGAGTGATTGCCAGGCCAGGTGGGGGCAGGAGGAACACCCCAAACTGTCCTCTGATCGACACACACCCAAGACGGACAGAGGGAGGAAGGGAGGGAAAAGATTCAATTATTGGTTTAAAAGGGGGAAAGAAAGAAAATACTGGTGAAGGTTCAGTATGGTGGTGCATATCTTTAATCCCAACCCTTGGAAGGCTGAGACAGATGGATCTCTGAGTTTGAGGCCAGCCTGGGCTACAGAGCTAGTTCCAGGACAGCCAGGGCTACACAGAGAAACCCTGTCTCAATAAATAAATAAAAGAAAGAAAGAAATACTGAGCCAACTGCGGTGGTGCACACTTGTAGTCCTAGCATTCGGGAGGCAGAGGCAGGCGGATCTCTGTGAGTTCAAGGCCAGCCTGGTCTACAAAGTGAATCCAGGACAGCCAAGGCTATACAACGAAACTTGTCTCAAAAGAGAAGGAAGGAAGGAAGGAAGGAAGGAAGGAAGGAAGGAAGGAAGGAAGGAAGGAAGGAAGGAAGGAAGGAAAATAAATACTGGTGAAGGAGCGGGGTTCAATGGTGGAGCCTCTTAGCAGCTGCAAGGCCCTGGGCTCCATCCTAGGGACCCTCCTAAAGAGAGATTAAAAACAACGTGGGAGATGCCTGGAATCCCGCAGAGGACCCCCACGGAAACCCCCAGGGAATCACTCGGCCACTCCCTCCCTGCCTAGCAACGATGCCACCCCTCCCTGCCCCCTCACCTTTCTGGGTATCGAAGATGCTGGGCTGACCCAGCTGGCTGAGGAGGGGGCTCCCGCTGCTGGGGGGCTCCAGGTGGCTCAGGTGGAGGTAGGATGGATACAGCCCGCTGGGCAGGTGGGAGAAGCCTGGGGAGAGAAGACAGAGATGTCTACACTAGCCATGCTTCCCCACAGCGATACATCCTTCTAGCATTTTCTTTTCCTTGGAAAAAGCCACAAGGGCCTGTCAGTCTCCTGGTACAAGAAACTGATTGGTTAACACCAGTTCCCATGGTGATAATGGTCCCTCCCCAAAGCCCTGCCACTTCATGCCTTCCTTGAGGCTCAGGAAACCCACAAAGGCTTGGATACAAGTTCAAATACATCAGGATCAAAGTCAGACCAGACCCAACCAGGAGCGGACCCGGAAGCCATTATTCTCATTTAAACCTCAAAAGCAACGCTGAGAAGACCACACACTCTTATCATCTCATTTTACAGATTAAAAACAAAACGAGAAACAGACTCGGAGTGGCCCACTGTCTAAGAGACCAAAAACTGCAGCCAAACCTGGCTTTGACCCAAAGTCGCCGGACCCTACAAGCACAGACCCTGGGTGAGTGGCCTTCATGGGCCTCCTCTGCTGTGTGCCTCAGAACTGATTGCTTGCCTTCTCTGGGAGCAGAAGCCAGGCCTCGCTAGCTGCACGGAGGGCCTCTTACGTTCCCAGAATGGGCTCCTACAGCGAGGCCCGTAGGGAAAAGGGCATGACTTCAGAAAGGGTGGCCACAGGTGACAAACATGCGTAACTAAGGGCAAACAGGAAATGAAAGTAGGACACTAGGGGTGGACACCAGGGGCCAGGCAAAGCTTCTTATGTCTGGATCTGGGGTGCTACAGGAGGACAACAGGAACAGCGTCCCCGGCCCTAGTTTAAGGTCTGGCTAAGGTCAGGGATCCCAGGCTTGTCCCTGGCCCTAAGGGCTCACATCTATTTCTCCACCAGACAGGACTATGGGTGGCACTCTGGATGCCTGCTGGACACGCATGAAACCCTGAATCTGATTTCCTAGCACCTACAGCCAGGGCTACACAGAGAAACCCTGTCTCAATAAATAAAAAAGAAAGAAAAAATACTGAGCCAGCTGCGGTGCTGCACGCCTGTAATCCCAGCACTCAGGAGGCAGAGGCAGGCGGATCTCTGTGAGTTCAAGGCCAGCCTGGTCTACAAAGTGAATCCAGGACAGCCGGGGCTACACAGAGAAACCCTGTCTCGAAAGAGAAAGAGAGAAAGGGATTTCCCACACCCCTCAGCCACCACACAGGCTGCGCTCTAGGGGCACAGGCCAGTAATCCTGACTACCTAAGAAACTACCTGAGGGCGGTTCAAGGCTCCTTTGGGCAACTTAACCACAAAGTTAAAACTAAGACCAGCTATGGTGGCACACGCCTTTAACTCTAGCACTCGAGAGGCAGCAGCCGGTGAGTCTCTGTGAGTTCAAGGCCAGCCTGAGCTATACAGTAAGACCCTTTACCTGTAAATAAATAAATAGTAAGTGGATTAATAAGTACATAAATAAATAAGAAAAAGAAAAATATATAAAAGGGGGTTGTCCAGAGTGGAGGCTTCACACATGTAACCCCAGTATTGGAGAAGCAGAGGCAGGAGGATTGCTGCAAAGGCCATTCTGGTCAACACAGAGAATTCTGGGCCAGCCAGCGATGCCCAGCCCACGAGCGACACAGTTGAACACTGAACCAAAGGTCAGCTGCAGGCAGTGGGTCCTCTGCGGGTCCCTTGTGAAGAAGATACTCTGGTTAGATCCCAGCCCCTTTCCCAGACTGCTGCAGAGATTGAGAGGACCAAAGAACACAGTTCTGGGACCAGGTCATGTCAGTGGTATAGCTGTCAGCATCTCGGGAAGGACTGAGGAATGGGCTGGTGAGACAGTAGAGGTAGCCTGTGCTATTCCAGGCCCTGCTCAACACTCAGGAGGGCTGAGCTCACAGGGAGGCGGGGCTTACGCAGAATCCCAGCCCACAGCAAACACCCAGAAGAGCCGCAGCCTGTCCAAGACCGATGGCTTTAGTGACCTCTGTTCAGGAAAGAGTGCACTGTCACGCCTGACAGAGACACCCTCAGCTACAGCTGGGCAGATGCAGCAGCCCACAAGCCCATGCTGCTGGCAGCCATTGTCTCCAACCACAGGAAGGAGAGAATGGCCCACACAGCCGAAAGCAGGCAACAGGGGCCTCCCAGAACTACAATGTCCTGGATTCTAGGTGAGCCCACAGGGTCTGCCAAGACATAAGGGGACCCTAAACTCAACCAAGCGATACCCCAAATCTACCAGAGACAGCGGTGTGGGAGGCATGCCTCCCAATCACGGGGCCTTAGGTTCACTCAATCCTCAGTACTGCCAAAAAAAAAAAAAAAAAGAGCCCAGAGTATCCAGGCCAGAGGCGCCTCACAACAGTTGTGTGTGTGTGTGTGTGTGTGTGTGTGTGTGTGTGTGTGTGTGTGTAAAAGGTGGGAGTAAGTGTGGGGGGCGTTCCACTGAATACACACCAGTCCTTGCCATCAGAGCGCACACCACACAGTCTGATAGTCACATTGGCAAACCTTTTGTCTCCTACCAGAGAGCAGTGGGGACAGAAGCGGCTGCGGGGGCAGCCTTGGAAGGAGGAGCCAGGGGGCTGGGGTGAGAGGCTGCACACAGAGACACAAATGCTCGTGCAAAGGCCCTGTGGTAACCAAATAAGCACTTAGCACTAGAAGGGAAACAGAAGGCCATGGCGAGAAAGGTTGGTGTTGGGGACATAACACTGCCGCCACGGTGGAGACAGCGGCTCGGCAGCCCTCAGCCCCTCCCATCTGGCCCACTCCTTACCTTCATGGGCGTGGGCGGCCCACAGCTGCACCATGGGCAGGTTGCTGGGGGTGGGGGAGCGGAAGGAGAGGTCAGAGGGCAGGGATACCGGGCTCCCCTGAGACGAGGCCGAGGGCCCCATCCCGCTGGCCACAAAGCTGCCCAAGAAGGCCTCGCCTGCAGAGAAAAGGGAGGGGGGGTCCCTGTCAGGCAGCAGGCTATGCCACCTGGACCACCGTCCCAAGGTGCCACCCCCACCCCACGGCAAATAGCCTTCGGTGCCAGAGAGCTCAAAAGGCATCCTCGGTCCACGGCCACACCCTATGGTCCCAATCACCACAGTGACCACGGAAGGCAGCCAGACTTCCCAGCAACCCTGGAGAATGGTTTACCACCCTGGCTGCAGAGAGAAACCAGTCAGGAATGAGGTGGGGGGGGGCCCCAAGGACTGCCCAGGGCCACTGAGTAAGGGATGATCACTGGAGGAGGAGCTCATGGTCTGAGCTCAGTACAGCACATCCTTCAGAGCCCGACATCCCCAAGGACACCGCAGTCACCCAGGATTTGCAAGGGCCTCTCCTTGTCCAGTGTCTGCATGTGCCCATGGACCTGATGGGGGAGCTGAGGCCCCTGCACACCCAGCAGGTCATCTGAGCCCAACCTGAGAGGCGGGATGTGTGGATTGGATCACAAAGTGAAACAGCTAAAGTCAGGAATGGTGACACACAGCTATATTACCAGCTCTTGGGAGCTGAGGCCAAAATCGCAAGTTCTGAACCAGCCTGGGCTACACGCTGAGCCCTTGTAAGTTTTTAAAAGATGGGGCCTATCTTTCCTGACGGCTCGCATCTATTACTCCTAGCACTCAAAGAGGCTGAGATATGAGGACTGTTGCAATCCAAGGCCAGCCTGGGCTACAAAATAAGTTCCAGGTAGTCTGAGCTATAGGAAGAGACTGTCTAAGAAAAACTCCCAGCCTCCGTCTGGGGATGCTTGCCTGTTATACAAGAGGACCTAGGTTCAAACTTCAGCACAAAAGAAGAAAAAAAGTACTATTTGCAAAACAAAAACAAGGTAGGAGGCAAGAATTATTTAACAGACAATAATAGTAAATAGGCCAGACGTCCTGTGGGGGATTCAAACTCTCCACAGGGTACCTACAAGAGAGGGTGCAGAGCCCTGACCACACAGCTGGGCCCAGCACTCTAACCAAGCACCCACCAGGTGTCCATCCTGGCCGGTGTCCGGGAGAGCTGAGTAAGCTCCCAAGGGCCCCCCACCCCGTCCCTGAGAGGTGGGCACTGTCTGTGGACAGACAGATGTGTGTGGCTCAGACGCCAACTCCCTCCACCCCTTCTTAGCCACTGGCAACTCACAGACTCCACCCATATCCATACAAGGTCCAGTTTCCGGGTCTCCAAAGCCCCCCACCATGTAAGCCCTATACCCGAGTGCCCACTGACCACACCTCCCGACGGGGTGGGATCCCAAAATATAACCCCATGGCCTTTGAGCTCCACATGGAGACACTGAGACAGCAAGGGCAGGACTTCTTCATTCACTACTCCCAGTAGCTAGAGAGCGCACACACCCTCAGACCACCTGCCTATGTCCAGCCCCCACCCCTCACCAGAGTCCAGCGCCAGCTCCTGCGGCCCAAGGGCCCTTTCGGACAGTCAGCATGTCCATGTAGCCCAAGCCTGGGGAAGTAGGGCCTGGGGGCCCTGCCAAGCCCTAGGCTTCCTCCTTGATGTGGCAGACGGCGGGTAGAAGGCTCCGGAAGCCAGTAGCCAGGGGTTTGCGCAAAGGCTTACATCAGCCACCAGCTCTTCCTGCCGGGGCTGTGCGGAAGTACAGGGCGCAGGCCTGCCGCTGCCTGGGCTTATGAAACCCAGCAGGCAGTACCCCAATCCAGAGAAGCGTTGGGGCCCCGGATGCCACCAACGGCTCCCCCATCATCACCAGGAGCCCAAGTAGCTCCTCCCAGGCTGGGGGTGGGGAAGGTAGGGGATCCCAAGGACCCAAGCAGGCAAGACACTGCTGCTCTCTCTCTGCTCACAGAGTTGCAATCCTGAAGCAAGCACATCACCACTGAGTGGTGGCATAGGACAGCCAGTAGAGCTACTCAAGAGGCTGAGGCAAGAGGATGGAAAGTTCAAAACCACTCTGGACTGGAGTTGGAGGACACTAGTCAGGGCAACTCAAGACTGTCTCAATAAAAAGTGGAAAGAGCTGGGAAGGGTGGTTCAGCAAGAGAAACTACCTAGCATCTCCCAGTAAGAGACTTGGGGTTAGCTCAGTGGTAGAGCCCCTGCCTAGAGTCCCCCAGTGAAGGGCTGGGTGTGGCTCAGTGGTAGAGCCCCTGCCTAGAATCCCCCAGTGAGGGGCTAGGGTGTGGCTCAGTGGTGTAGCCCCTGCCTAGAATCCCCCAGTGAGGGGCTGGGGTGTGGCTCAGTGGTAGAGCACCCACATAGCATGATCACGGCCCTGGGTTCCATCATGGTACAAAATAGCTCCTACAGAGCAGTCACGCCAGGACCACCAGCATCATTGCCCTGTCTGACATCCTCAACAAAGCCACAAGCATAGCTGTGTGTGTCAGGTTCAGGACTGAGTAGATACCAACACACACCACAGAGGAGACCAAGGCCGCAGACACTCCACGCTGTGGGACATGGTAGTCGGTCACCGCATGTCACTCCTGAGCATCAGACACGCGGCTGTGGAGACTCAAGAACTGCAGGTTTTATTTTACGAAATCTCAATTCATTTAGACTTAATTCAGCCACGTTCTAGGCCGAAAGTCTTTTCCTGGCTAGAAACTGATGGGGTGGATTGTCCGTGTCCACAGGGAAGAAGTGGGACAAAGTATGATTCCTGGAGGTAGCAGAGGCCACATCCTAGCTCCCAGGCTCACTCTGATTGTGCGCGCATGTGCACACCTATTCGTTCACTCAGCATACACACACACGTGTCTATGTGCATACGCAGAAGTCGGGAGGATGTGGGAAGTCTGCCTCCTCCACCTTATTCCCTCAGACGGCATGGCTACAGGGCCTGGCTCTACACTGATAAACATCGAGCTCCAGGGCCCTTCTTGTCTCTTCTAACAGCCTGGCCACACCCAGTGTTAATGTAGGTGCTAAGATTTGAACTCCCACCTGCACAGCAAGCAGTTTTACCTGCTGGGCCATCTCCATGGTCTCTTTAGGCAAAGTCTCACTATGTAGCCCAGGCTACCCTGACCATTACGTATGCGAAATGCATAACGCTTTGATCATCCTCTCCCTCCACGCTGAGGTAAGATTCAAGAAGCTTCAACCTGTGAAATGATTTGAACTCCAGTGCCACAGGGAGCAGCCCCAGCTGCTGTCACAAACGGCTGGCTAAGAGACTCCTCCAAGGTTGGGATCTGAGGGTGTTCACCCTTCCTCAGGAGACCCAAGTGCTCATTAACGCACTAAGCATCATGGAATTGTACGTTACATGTGACATGTATGTTAAGTGTGACAAAAAAAAAAAAAAAAAAAAAAAGCTGGACTTGGGGCTCTGATTTTACTGGCTGACCAACCAGCCCCAGGACCTGGACTACGGGCAGGGGTCACATGCCTCTTTTGTTTTTTTTCAATCAGGTCCCCACACTTGTAACTGTCAGTTCTGCCAAAAACAAAAGCCCAGGTGCTGATCTGGCCCGAACCTGCTTAACCCCCGAGATCATAACATTCAAAGTGGAATCAAAACTCCAAGCCCTGGAATATTTTCCAAATTAAGAAATTAAAGACTTGAGTTCACACCTTTAATCCCCGAACTGAGAGGCAGAGGCAGGGGAACCTCTTGAGTTCGAGGCCAGCCTGGTCTACAGAGTGAGTTCTTAGACAGCCAGGGCTACACAGGGAAACCCTATCTCAAAACAAACAAACAAAAACACAAAAAGTCAGATATGGGGGACACGCCCATATCACCCCAAGGCTAAGGAAGTAGAGACAGGTGGATCCTGGGGCAAGGTCAGTCTAGTCTCCTCTACACCACTGAGAAACCCTGCCTCAAAGAAAACAAGTAGCTTCGTGAGGAATGATCCCTCCAAAGCTGTTCTCCAGCTTCCATATACATGTTTATGTGAACACACACAAGTACACCTATTCACACATACACACTTTAAATAAAAGAAGAAGAAGGAAAGAAGGAAGGAAGGAAGGAAGGAAGGAAGGAAGGAAGGAAGGAAGGAAGGAAGGAAGGAAGGAAGGAAGTCAGGTACACGCCTGTAATCCCAGAGACAGAGTCGAGGGGATCTCTGTGAGTGTGAGGCCAGCCTGGTCTACAAAGCAAGTTCCAGAACAGCCCAGGCCACACAGAGAAACCCTGTCTCAAAAACAAAAAAAAAAAAAAGAAAAAAAAAAACGGGAAAAAAACAATCGAAAGTACATGAGCTAGCCTGACTCCGTAGAGCATCTGAACACTATGCAAGAAGCACTATGCAAGAAGCTCCAGCCCCAGCACTTCAAGAGAGAAACAGGACTTCGGAAGTTGGAGGTTAGCAGGGGCCACCAGCTCAAAGTCAGGATGGGCTCCCGATTGAGTGTCTCTGTTCCTTGTGCAAAGATTTAATGACATTCATAAAACTCCCAGCTTTCCCAAGTCGCTTTCCTACACAGCGGGCTGTGTGCCAAGCGCATACCTCACCGGCTTCTGTAACCCCATCACGGAAGGAGTTAGTCAGGCTGCACCCAGTCATGAAGGAGAAAGCCAAGATGCTGCAGCTTGCCCCGGCACCAGGGAGAAGCGGGGGGAAAACCCAGACACCGAACTTCCTTATCCCAATAGATGGCAAGGGGCGCTCACTGTCTGTGGGGCTTGGGGTACAGTCCTCTTGGAAACCGTGACGCCACTGCAGAGACAGTGACACCCTGCCTGTGCTAGGGGTGACATCATGAGGACACCTGAAGCTGACCCTATTTATGATTTCGACCACAATCCAGAAGGGGCACTTACAATTCCAGAGAGAGACAACGGGCTAAGTTTTAAACCCCATGCCACTCTGAAGTGCCTGAGGAACCTTGCTGGCACCCTTCCAATCTATCTCTCTGTCCAAGGCATCGAAGCCGAATAGGGAACCCTTAACTCATTCGCCCTGGGCGCCCCTCCAGAGTTCCCTGCTCAATGCTGCACTGTCCGGAGCC